GATGCTAGAATAAAATAAGATAAATACGAAATGCAATGTCTATGGAAAGCTGATTTACAAGTGTTTTTATTCATAAATAAATCTCTTATTTGAACTTAATAATATTTTTTTAATATTGTTATGCAATAGATACAATTTAAAACTCCTTTTAAACGTAACAAATGTACTTTTAATATTACATTTTTATTTATTCCAAAGATTGGAATAAATTGGCCATAAAATGAAACTACGAGTATAAAAAAAATAAACACAAAATCAATGAGAATGCTAAAATAAAAAAGATAGATATGAAATGCAATCTTTATAGAAATTTGATTTACAAGTGTTTATATTCATAAAAATAATCTCTTACTTGAACGTAAGAACTTTTTTTGTATATTGTTATGCAAATAGAATCAAATTTATTCCAAATATTGGAATCAATAGGATGATTAAATGAGACTAAGAGAATATAAGAGATAAACATAAAATCCACTAATCATAGTAATAATTTGTTTAATAATACTGCCATAATATTCGGTTCTATTCAACTACAAATTATGCTAATTAGATTTGAGATTTTTAACGATCTTTTCTTTACGATATCATAATTTTTGTGGTGAAAATCTTTTTTATTTTGGTATCATCCGAATAAACAAAATATGTGACATTGCCACACCAAGAAATATTATCACTTCAATTTCATACCATAATTTTTGTTTTGACACGAATGTGAGACTTATAAACATCCAATCCAACTCATACGATAAAAGCATCTTATACAAAAATATAAAACCACATATTGTCAGGGTTAGTCTTTATCGCATATAGTTGTTCTTGAAGAAATCGTTTTTTAGTAACAGTTAATTATATGTTGTTGTTTCATGTGCAACTATTAGGAAGTGATTGAAAATATTAGTTTGTGGGGATGATAAGTTACCCAGTAATCAAACTAATAATGTTGTGTACAATTAGACTTTTAATAATATATGACTTATTATTACCAACGAAAAAAATTATGATTACTTTACAATTGTCTTACGAAATATAATTTATTTATTAATAGATTTCAACTTATAATTATTTTTAAAATAAATACAGCCCGTGCATCGCACGGGTTACATACTAGTTTTAAAAGTAAAGTAAGTGAAAAATATGTGAGATAGTTACAAAAATAAATGTGTGAAGTTTATTGTTATTTAGAGATATGTATATCTTTGAAGTTTACACAACTTCACAAAATAAAGTAATTTGTGTTTTTCTATTTATTATGTATAAGACTCCTCCCACAAATGAAACAGTCCTCATCCCCTCAGCCCCAAAAGCAAGCAGTAGCTGCTGCTCTACAGAACCTCGATTAAATCATCCCTTTTTAGCGGAAAACCAAGAACAGAGAGCAAATTGAATTGAATAGAATATCGAAACACCTCAAGAGATCATCATGACTACTCTGTCCAAAGCACCTTTCTTGATTCTCATCCTGCCCTTGTTTTTATGCGAGCCCGTTTTCTCGGACCTGCTTTCGACGCCGCAGGAGCTGTCTGAAATCCCCATAAACTTCCTCAATTATGCGAAGAAAGCTGAAGTCTTTGATTGGATGGTTGGTGTTAGAAGAAAAATACACGAGAGTCCCGAGCTGGGCTACGAGGAATTCGAGACCAGTAAACTTATCAGGGATGAATTGGACAAGATGGGGATTTCTTACAAGTACCTAGTTGCAGTTACTGGTGTTCTTGGTTTTATAGGATCTGGAAAATCTCCTCGTGTTGCAATTAGGGCAGATATGGATGCCCTTCCTGTAGAGGTAATATGTTGCAATCTCCTCGTGTTATTGGCTCGATTCCGGATTAGTCGGTTTCCCTGTGGATTCAGAAACCGAAAGGTCCATGTACCAAAAAAAAAAAAAAAATATGCTTCTATCTGTTTTTTTTTTATTTAATTCGTTATTTTTTATCTTCAGGATCAGTAAATATATTGATTTAGTTTTCATTTTGAGTTCGATTGTAAAGATTGATTTTGCCCTATGAATCTGCCTGTTTGATGTTTGAGGGTGTTTTTGCCATGTGGGCCCCTCCCCTAGTTTACCTCTGTTGTGATGTTATTGCTGCACATATATATAGAGATTGGGAATTTATGAGATCAAATTGGGACCAAAATATAGGCTTTTAGCTGTTTTGTGATGAGAGTGTTGTTGTTAACTTGTAAGAGATATGGAAGAAGTTATGAAGTTGAGGCATTATTATTGATTGTATGTAAAGTTTTTTTGAACTTTTTGTCTTATGAATTTTTAAAGACATTAGTTTTTAAATCTATAGGAAATGGTGGAGTGGGACCACAAGAGTAAAAAACCCGGAAAAATGCACGCGTGTGGGCATGATGCGCATGTTGCAATGCTTCTTGGTGCGGCCAAGATATTACAAGAGCATCGTGATTTTATCAAGGTTTGTCTTGCGATCTTTGTAGTTTCTGTTATATTCCGTTGGTGTGTGGTGTTTTATTTGGTAATAATCAGTGCATTATTTGTTGGTAAATGATATTTGTCCTAGTGTTAGATATATAACAGCTGTGCTGGTTTTTTTCTATCTCATCTTCCCTTGTTCGTCTGTTGTTTCTTGTTTTCATGTTTTTGTTACGTGAGATTGTGAGAATGGTGATTGGTGACTTCATCTATGTATTGAAAGCCTTTTAGCTTGCAAATAAATGGAAAATAATATTATAATTGTGTTTTCAATTGCCAATTTTTGTTCTGAATTCTGCATGATTTGCTCAGAATCCGATTACATTGGAGGGGTGCTTTACATTTCTAATTTTGATTAATCGTTTGACTATCTCGACTTATAGATAAAGCTCATTTATATCTTAGTGGCCAAACATTCTCTTTCTAATTAATTGCAACACTTCACAACAAATCTTAGCTTCTATACACTTCCCAACTTCTGATAACTTTCTCTCAAAGCCATTTTTCTAGCTTTTACTACTCGATTCCTTTATATATATAAATGCAGTTATAATCTTCCCAAACTTTTACAGGGGACAGTTGTTCTAGTTTTCCAACCTGGAGAGGAAGGATATGGAGGGGCCAAGAAGATGATAGAATCTGGCGTGCTTGAGAATGTAGACGCCATTTTTGGCCTCCACGCGAATCCTTTATTGCCTGTGGGCCAAGTCTCGACTCGGGCCGGGCCCATTATGGCAGGGAGTGGCTTTTTCAAGGCCTTAATAAGTGGAAAAGGAGGCCATGCGGCCATTCCTCAGCACTCGATCGACCCAATATTGGCGGCTTCTAATGTGGTTGTCAGTTTGCAAAATCTCGTTTCACGAGAAGCTGATCCTCTTGATTCTCAAGTATTATATTTTTCCTTTTTTTTCTTCTTCAGAATTTTTCGGTGCTTAAATCTTAGTATGCATGACTTATGAACAATTTTAGTATGCATTCTTGCATAAATCTTTGATTCTTGATAAACTGAGAGTATCAAAATTTGTTTTATCTTTTTTTTTTTTTTCATTTTTCATATTTTAATTCAAGATTAATCTGAACAGGTAGTTACTGTTGGTAAATTCCAAGGAGGTGGCGCGTTTAATGTTATTCCGGATTCTGTTACCATCGGTGGCACTTTCCGGGCCTTTTCAAGCGAAAGCTTAGATCAGCTTAAGCAGAGAATTGAAGAGGTAATTAACATGATAGAATCATTGCATATTATTAGATCAACGAACATTTGCATAACCGCCAAATTTTCCCTTTTGGCCGGGAAAAAATAATAATAATGATAATAAGGCAAAATTGTATATGAAGGCACCACTGTTTAAGGTTTTTGAAATTTAATCACCACCTTTTATTATTTGCGTTTAAATTACCGCCTTCCATATGTTTTTTGCAGATCGAATCATAAATTTAACTTCCGTTACACTTTCCGTCTGTAAGCCACGTAGAGGTTCCGTCTATGCCAAGTCAGCTCCAAACTAATGGAAGTTAAATTTATGCTTCGATCTGCAAATCATATTGAAAGATGGTGATCTCAATGCAAACAGCAAAACGTGGTGATTAAATCGCAAAAAGTTTAAAGGCGGTGCCTTTGGATGCAAATTTCACATAATAATAATATTGAAGTAACAAATTACAACTCAATTCACAGATAATCGTAGGGCAAGCTGCCGTGCAAAGGTGCAATGCAACCGTAACTTTCGAATCTAAAGACCAAATTTTTTACCCGCCAACTGTGAACAATCTCGAGCTACATAAGTTTTTTCAGAAAGTAGCGAGTGAGATGGTGGGGCCCGATAATGTCAAAGACATCCAGCCATTGATGGGGTCCGAAGATTTTTCCTTCTACCTGGAGAAAATTCCGGGCTACTTCTTTTTTCTCGGGATGAAAGACGAAACTTTGGATAAACCCGTGATGGCACATTCACCTCATTTCGTGGTTGATGAAGGTGGGCTGCCATATGGTGCTGCACTCCATGCATCGTTGGTTGTACAGTACCTTCTCGTTGGAGAGAAAACGAGCCCGAGCCCGGTTTATGGTGGCCATCACGACGAATTGTGATCTTTCCCATTTTTATCTTTTTTTTTTTTATTATTATTATTACTATGCAGGTTTTGGTTTTTTTAGTCGCTGTGGATGCTGGCTTTTGGGGGTTTTAAATTTTTATTGTCATGTTAAGTTGGTAAGAAAATGTGTATTTGTGATTTTATAATTTGATTTCTACCCTTCTATTTACTGATGAAAGTCGTGTTTTGATCAGTGGAGAATTTAAGGCTAGCTCCTCATGATAGCATTTGTTTTTTTAAGGTCATCCCGACGGAAAACTTCATACTCAAACTCATTTGCAATAACTGCTCATTTTGCAGTAATTCATCTCCAACTGAAAAACTCATTTTTAAACCAAAAGAATATTCTCGAAATATTCTTTCTCACATCAACTTTTATAATTTTTCAAAACTATTCACATATTTTACAACTTTCAAATTAAATCACACTATTATTTTAAACTCAATTTGGATATTATGTAATAAACTTAATTATAAAGTTATTAGTATTGTGTGATGTTGTATTTCGTTTCAATACAAGTTATTTAAATGTTTTTTTAGTAATGTTATTGTTATTTAATGTTAGTGTTTTCTTTTCTTGTTAAATAGATAAAAATACCATAAATAAGATGTATATTTTATATTATTATTGTGAAATATATATAATTAAATGATAAATATAATATTTTTATATTAAATATTATGCTATCTAATTTTTATGAAACTATTTCTTTTAGTCTTTTACATTATTATTGTGAAAAAATTAAATTACTATGTATATTTACTCTATTATGAACAAATATAAAATAACATTATATTATTTTCATGAAAGTAAAAATAAAAAAGAAAAATTTTAATACTTTTTAAACTTAATTTTCAATTTAAAAGATTGTTTTATTTTATTACTATTTAAAAACAAAAGAAAACAAAAAAAAAATCAATTTACAAATAAGATAACTTTAAGGACCAAGATGTAAAAAAAAAAAAGAAGGAACGTATAATTTGCATTTCGACGCATATTGTGCGTCGATTTGAGAAGAGAGAGAGATCAGATAGCATTTTGCGATTAGTTTTCGGCACCGCTTAGAGCTCTCGTACTGCAAATTTTCGATTTTGCAGTACGCTTGGAAAATGTCTAAGCTAGATATAATGGGTGTAAATTAATTGGAATAGAATGTGTATATAATGTTATAATAATTTTTTAAATTTTCATAGACTTTGAATTTAAATTTATTTATTTTTTTTGTACTCCATCAATTAAAATCTCATTCCTATTAATATCCCCTTCCCCCTATATATAATTCCTGAATGCGCTGAGCCTACGTGGCTGCTTCTGGTGCTTCGAAATCCTATTTGGCGAAGAATCATGCTTTGTAATTAGTTTGGACAAATAATATTGTTATATTAATAATTAATAATCTAAGTTCGAACATTCCATAAATATTATTTAGCTAACTTAGGTATTTTAATATCACTTGTACTAATATAACTCTTTAATTCTTTGTATTTCACTTAGCTAACTTAGGTATTTTAATATCACTTGTACTAAAAGTTGATAACTTTTGTATTTCTTATTAGTTTTACATATATAATATATCAAATTAATCATCTTTTCATGATTTTCGATTTGACATCCATATTGCATATATAAAGTAAATAAATTATATTTATCTTTATAATAATAAAAAATAATAATATTTATTAAAATCTATTAGAAAAATAAAATTATTCCTCAGTTGATATATTTATGTTTAATGTAGTTATATGTTGTAAGTTAAAAAATTATAATAATATAACACAAGTAAGTCATACAAATAAAAAGTGTCATACTAAATATATAATAATATATATTTTAATAAAATGTATTTAAATTTTTAACTACTTTTTCTCATTAATTTTAGATTTTAAAAAAAAAAATTAGCAAAGACCCGTGTAATACACAAGCGTTGTACTAATTACTATATATTTGTTAAAATACACCGTGTTCAAAATGAACTTGCAGTATATTATTCCCAAGGACGTATCATTTTGTTGTATAATACACCACTATCAATTTTAATGCAAATATCTATCATTTTATGTTTTGTGCATTAATTAGTTAACCTACTGTTTTCTCTATTTATTTGAACTACTATTTAACATTATATTACCAAACTAGTGCGGTACCCGTGATGCACCGAGCTAGTTTTATAAGGTAAAGATTTAAATTTAGATGATTGGATGACTTTAAAAACTTAAAACGCATGTATTGGAATAAAATAATATAACTTATATATTATTAAACACATCCTAACACACGATATTATTTGTTTGGTCTTTTGGTACATCGCCTATCGCCACAGATTATATTACGATTCTTGATAGGCTTAAATAAATTAAATTATTTAGTAAGATATATATGATATGATTTATACTGGTTTTATGAAGAATACATAGTCAAATATAACGGAGATTGTAAAACGTCTTTTTTGGTAATCTATAGCTTTATTATCTTAAATTATAAATTACTTAATTTAAGGAAAGAAAAAATTGTGTAAGTGTATGCAATCCATTTAAAGTTTGTATTCTAGAGGATTAAACAAAACTCAAATTTTCATTTTGAATTTCAGATTAATATTACATGACTATGTTTTATGTTTACAAAAAATTCAAACTAAAGAAAGTAGTAGTCAAATGATAAGGGATTTTTAAATTTTAATTTCAATTTGACATTGGGCCAGATTTCTTTGGAATTCGATTTTTTTTAATAAGCATGATCTGTTGTAATTAGGTAAAGATACATGTTATAGTATTTTGTCTGATTTGAAATTCTCGATTTTATGGTGAATATTCTTATATATATATATATATATAATGAGAGAATTTTAAATTTTACAAAATTGTCGTGCCAAATTTTACCTAAATTAACCCGATTTCTATGAAATCTGATTTTCTTTAATAAACAATTGATCTGTTGCAATTAGGAAAAAATATATGTGATAGTATTTTGCCTAATTCGAAATTCTCAATTTTATGGTAATCAGTTATATATATATATATATATATATATATATATATATATATATATAATGAGAAAGAATTTTGACTTTTGCAGAATGGTATCATTAGTTGAAATTTACCTAAATTAAAAATCCACAAAACCCATGAATTTAGGGTACATATTTAGCTGACTGATTTTTTGAGAATAATTTAAAAATAAAATTCAAAAATAGCTAAAACTAGAATGCAATAAATACTGATTGTCTTTTTCTGTTACTATTTTTAGTAAATATGTTCTCTTTTATATGTATATATAAATATAAATTCTATATATTGATCCGGGTTCAACATTATTAAATAAAGTAAATTAGCATGGGAATTTTGACTATGATTTTTGGAATATACCGAAGTTAGTATGAAAATATCCGATTTTAATTAAGCATAGAAGTTTAGAGAAGTATATTGATGAAAAGTGAAAACATCAATTAGTTAGAGCAAATTATTAATTCTTTACAGGGAAGAGATTTGGGAAAATGATGTCGAGATTTATAACCGTTAGATCATAATCTAACTGTCGTGGATAGTTGATCTAACGGTTACAAGTTCCGTCACACCGTAGAATCTCACTCAGATTTAATTCACTTTGTAACAAAATCTCCCCCGTATATTAAATGATGTTTCGTGCATATAATTTAGGACGTTTCCATTATATCTCTAGCTTTGGTCTACAATAAGAAGATCCCCATCTCGTAGAGCACCCCAGAAGCTTCATAAAATGCCGGCAACCGATAGGCTGGGTGGCTTGTCGGACGACGTTATGTCACATTCTCTCTTTCCTCCGGACCAAACTCTCGGTTGCCAGTAGCGTTCTAGCTAGTAGGTGGAGATTCATGTGGACCCGTTGTTAGAGTA